ATAATGCTGCAATAAACATAGTTGTGCTGGTAGCTTTAGTATGGTCTTGTTTGGGATCATTCGGGTAAATGCCCAAAAGTGGGATTGCTGGGTCATAGAGGGGAGCTCAGTGTGGAGTCTTTTGGAGGAACCTCCATACTGCTTTTCAGAGTGGTGGGACAGGTTTACACTCCCACCAACAGTGTAGTAGCATTCCCTTTTGGCTACTATCTGTCCAGTATGTGTTATTAGATTTTTTTTCTCACAAAGGAAATTAATTTATTAGAATTTTAAACTTTTGAGATGAAATCATTTGAACAGCAAATCTTTTCACCACTTAGAATTTCAACATTTCTGTTATTGAATAACAAGAGAGAAGCCTGTCAATAGGGTTTTTGATTATAGCCATTCTAACTGGAGTGAAGAGGAATCTCAATGTTGTCTTGATTTGCATTTCTTTTATAGACAGAGATTTGGAGATAATGAAGAGCCCTATGGAACAAGAAGATGGTGGAGAAGCAGTTTCAGGCTTACTGAGCTCTCTTGAAGAAACAAGTTTTAGTGTTCCAGTGAAAAAGCCAAGGCTAGAGACTCACAACAAGTGAGCCATCATAATACAGAGTGTTTGGCCAAGAGGAAAAATTCAGGCAGCCAGTTTAAGAAGACAGAATCGAGCGAGCATTCACTGGTGACCATGGCAGTGGAAGTGGAGAAATTACAAGGAGTAAAAAACTTCATCCTGGTGATCACAGAGGGATGCAGATTGCAGATAAACCAAAAACCAAGGAAAAGGCTGACTACCCCTCAAGACATTCCCAATCCTTCTAACAGAATAGCATTTGAGGGTAGCTCTTCCCACACCACCAAAGAAGACTGCCGTCTTTGATATAATTTGTATTAAACATTTGAGGCCTTAGTTTTGTATTGACTTTTTAAAATTATAATGTTAGCTTTGAACAATCTCTGTAATTTGTAATTGTTATAAATTATAAAAGAACAAAAACAAAAAAAGGAATTATACTTTTAAAAAATAACCCTCAACTGAAGAGAAAAAGGAAAACAGCAATTCCAAAAAAATGGAAAACAATGAAAATCAAGTAAATTTTAGTATTGAACTAAACTGGAGTTTATTGGATGGAACACACCCTAAAATTTTAATCAAATATTGGTTTTATATCTCTATT